ACCCCGCCCCCCCCCCCCCCCACACCCCCCCCTACCCACCCCCATACCCACCCACACCCACACCCACACCTACCCACACCCATACCCACCCACACCCACACCCACACCCTCAAGTTTATTTGGTCATTTTTGGAGGGTCAATGTTGATTCTGACAAAATAACATTATCAAATCACGATTTTATCCATGAGAGAGGAAAGTTCAAACGTCAGGGTCACTTTATTCGTATTTTTAAAAACGCGACATTGAGACTTGCTGCCCTACTGACTATCCCATAGTTTCTGACGATATGGGCCCAGCATATATAATGTAGTTAATGGTTTGATAAGGCGGCATGATATTGAATGGTCTTCCTTCACCTACAGCTGTTGTTTCTCCATTGATAACATGTGAATGAAGTCCTGCATGCTTAATATTAATTCGTGTATAATCGTGGTTGATAGTGTGTGAGTGAATACCATTATCATTGCCACCACCACCACCAGGTCTCATAGAATATACACCTTTAGAGAATGGTCCAGAGCCAGTGCTTCCTCCGTGATTATGGCCAGGATCATTGTAACTATGTGTATGATCACCAGCAGAAGTCAATGACAACGAACCTTTTGCATGTGAATGTAATGGAAGTTCATTTTGAGTTAAAGTAGCGGATGATGCGCCACCTTGGAATACTCCTGATCGCTGTCCGATTTTATTGTTTAGACCTAAAGGAAACCGACCTTTAAAGTCTGGCAGATTAAATGTACGAACATGATCACCTACACCATAATGAGTGCCTATGATGGCAAACAGTGGAGCATAAACCGTGCGCGAAATAGCTGAACCATCACATAGTAACCATTGATCTGGAATAACATCGCCACCAAATTGAACTATAGTACCGATCGGCATAGTTATTGAACCTTTTGCCGTTGAGTAAATCGGTGTTGAAGCACCCAGAAGCAGTAATAAAATAATTTTGTGTATCATTTTCTGAAATTTTTTTGAAGTATTGTAAGCTTTTATTGCAGTCTCCTAAAGATTATTGTCCGAGATGCACAAAAAACTCAACGCATAGTATGCAGCTGGTCAAAAAGTATCCGAACACTCTGTTCCAACCTCTTGCAAAAAGCTTACTTATTCAAAGAAATTCTTTAGAAAGATGGATTCTTCTGCAACTTATGTATGACAGAGAACTTTGATTGCTCTATCTAATGAGGATGTTAAGAGAAAAAATAACATGTTTCCAAATTAAAAATAATTTTTTGTCAAAAATCATGGGATTTGTTGAAAAAAGGCTACCGTCCGATTTGATGACCTACTTGAATTCAAAACAACTGCATATGCAATTTTTTAGTGTAGCTCACAGCGCCTCGAATCATAGTCGAAGAAAACTAGAGGCCAGACGAGACATGAGTGTCGCCCGAATTTAGCGTGTATAGCCTCATGAGGCAAGGTAACAAACTGATAAATTGCTTTTTAAAGAGCAAGTGGCGTCCATCCCGTTCTTTCAAAAAGAATTACAAATTCGAAATCAGCTTTAAATTCTAAGAAAAATTAGATATTTTTTCTTGCGAACAAACGACTTTCACTTTTCGTGGCTTAGTAGACATCTGTAGAGATCCTAGGCTCATTGCACGAGAGCCACAACTGGTCCTGCTCAATTCTATATCCCAAACTTGTGTGCCCAGTGTCGAATAATACTTTATGATCAAACTTTAGAAAAATAAGCTTGAGCGAAATCTTACGCGCTGAATTAAAGAAAATTTATTTTAAACGTGACTTTCCTATTGAAATCTGATGAAATCCGAGATATTTTCAGTAAAAAGCTTTTCTAAAAAGCCAGCTATCTAGGAAGTGAGATGTCCAGCAAGTCGAAAAAAGTTGGTTCTACGCTTAAAACAATGTGCTTTTAAAAAATAGATAGGCCTTATGCAAATTTGAGATTATGATTGAGCACCATTTTGTGACCACCAGTCGTGGCTCTCGTGCAACAAATCCTAGGATTGTTGACAAAAGAGTTTTTTCAACTTCGTTGAATTAACAACCATTAGACACGGGTTTTTTTGCGGACTTTGAATTTAAGGTTGGAATCCGAAAAAGAGGACTTTCCATCGATAAAAAATCTAGTTTTCTATAGAATGGCCCTAAAGATACATTTTCAGTTATCGTTCTCAGGACATCTAGTAACGTCATCAGAAGGCCTAAAATATATGAGCAATTGCTCTTCGAGTTTTGACTTAAGCAGCACAATAACTCAACGTGTAATATCACTCTGCACGGAGCCATTGCTAATTAACGATAATGATGTAATGTACAAATATGATAGAAGCATAAAATTCTTTTACAACTAACAAGAATCCGTGCATATTGGATAGCTACTTTTTTCTGTAAAGTTTTACATCTGTGCATTTCTACTTTAATCTATGTCCATTAATAGGCAATCAGACACTTCGCATCATATATATATATATATATATATATATATATATACAGATAGATCTTATAATCCTATAGAGTTGTAGTACCACTCAGTTATCGACTTATGTCCTTATAGGCCTACATGACAAAAATGAGCAGTGGATTCGAGTATTTTCTGCAGATATTAGCATGGGTGTCTGTGCTAAGTCTCAATGTGGTTTTCATGGATACAAGGGTTTGAGCTCTATCCAACGGTATAATTTTATTATAGGACTGTCAAATAAAAATAACAGGTTTTAACCGAAAAACTGGATTTTTTTGGATGCATTCCCAGTGTTCCCTGCAAAATATTTCTACAGATGACTGTGATAAGCCTGAATCAGGTCGAGCTGGATACAGAATTTTGAACTCTATCGGGTAGTGTAATTTACTCACAGGTGTGTCGAGAAAAAGAGCGGTTTCCGCCGAAAAACTCGGTATTCTAGAGTGAATTCACAGTATTTCCTACAGATACTCGCATGAGTGTCTGTGCTGAAGCCGAAATTACTTGTTCTAGATGGAAAATTTCGAGCTCTATTCAGTCGTGTAACTTAATTAGGAAGTCATGCGATAAACGGGGGGTTTGTGCCAAAAACTAGGACTTTAAGGGTGCCTTCCAAGTATTTCATGCAGATATTCGTTTGAGCATCTGTGATGAGCTTAAAAATGATGTGTTGGGTACAGAGTTGCCAGCTTGATCTAATGGTGTAAGTTAATGAGTTTCTCGTGGGTGAATGTGGGTGTCGGTGTGGGGTGGGTGTGCGTGTGCGTGTGTGTGTGTGGGTGTGAGTGGGTGGAGGTGTGGGTGTTGATTTTTTCTTTAATTCCACCCACACCCACACCCTTCTTCATTACAAATATATTCCGACTAACAAGTAACATTCATCAAAATTGCATGTTGATTGACTGGTTCCTAGCGTGATGAAATGATGACAAAAATATCATTATTTCTTTTAGTGACAACGAATTACGTTTAATAATGAGTTTCGGAAAAAATAATATTTTCAAAGTATTGTGCATTAGAAACTATTAATATATTCAAAGAACTGACCTAAAACATTGAAAGCTGCTAACGCATGTGATAAAGCATATACCTTAATAGATTCTAATGACTACTAATGCTGACTTATGCCATAGTGCTGGCTAATTCTAATGTCGATATAGCCAGTGATGTCAGAGACATGCTCAATCTAACAGTAAGAATAGCCAACTGCGACAAAAAGATAGTTGATTGCACCCTGAAAACTAATTTTAGTCGAAAAAAATGGACTATTATGCTAAATAGATAGCCACTTTTACCACGACACATGACGTTTTATATCATGAACATGGTTAGTCGTACCACGAAAATGGTCATCTGTACCATAAAATGGTCATGTGTGTCATGAAATGGTTATATGTAATATAAAAGTGATCATTTGTACCATCCAAATGGTTACTTTTATCAATTGTTATAGACAGACAGTCGGACAGATAATCAGACACAGGTGATTTTTGGTTTCTAGTCCCTAACCTTCCAGTCCAGAGGATATATACCAGTCATTACAGAGAAGCCAGTATTACAAAGAGACCCATGTAAAAAAAATTAGCAGTAAAATCAGATTGGCATCAATTAAAATCGATTAAAATTATACACCTTTTAATCGATTTTTAATCAAAAATAATTAAAACAAATCAAAATTTCACACATAATTTCGATTAATTCTGATTAATTTCGATTATAATCGATTAAAATTTAATGAAAAAAAATCGATTTTAATTGATTTTTGTTCTGAATACATAAAAAAATTTTCAGTCGATTTTCATCGATTTGAATCAATTAAAATCGATTTTTTTTTCATTAAATTTTAATCGGTTATAGTAGAAATTAATCAGAACTAATCGAAATTATGTATGAAATTTTTTTTTTGTTTTAATCATTTTTTAATCGATTTTAATCTGACTTTATCCCTAACTTTTTTACATGGGGAGCACCATACAGACCTAGTAACCGAGCACAAAAGATTTCAGGTTTATCTAAAGAAATAAAAAAATTACCTGGAAAGGGTAAGAACTATGAGTAGCGTTGTTAATTTATCTTTACTTTATAAATAAAGGTAAAAACTTACATTATCTTTATATTTATAAAATAAAGATAAAGATAATCTTTATATTTATTAAATAGATATGAAGATAATCTTTATATTAATAAAATAACGAGAGTGGAGTGGTTGTGGTTGTGGTATAGATGGGTTTGGGTGTGAGATGTAGGTGGGTGGAAGTGTAGATGGGTGTGAAGATAGGGTGTGGCCGTCAGTGAGGGTTTTTCTTACTACACCCACACCCAATAACGTTCAATTTTTTATCGAAAAATTTATGTCGACAGTTTTACTCAATGAATTCCGCTTTGGGTCGGGAGTGATGGTGTCATATTCTCATCTACACCGTCGCCGAGATCCACATCTTCCCCACAATAGAAGTACTATGTCTCTGTTTTATCAGTTGTCTCTTTGAGCAGTATTTGGGTATAATTCTTCAGTGTTGTTAAACTCATCCATTCCTAGGAATAGTTTATTCAAGTGATGTCGTACTTTAGCACCGCCAGAAATTTATTCACGTATTCGTGCCGTCAAAGCTTGAAGTTGTGAATTATTTTCATCGATTACGCTCCCCTTTCCTCAAACAAATCACGTTTTGTCAGAATTAGGGAAATTGAGATTAGTACATAGGAAGATAGTGTGTCATCCGCTCTTTCATAAATGATAAAAATTTTTCTTCGTTACCTCCTTTTCCCGAATAAAATTCAAGTTTTCTGACAACCCCTATTCGAAAAACCAGCTGTTTTTCAAAAAACCTAAAAATTGTTTTCTTTTTTTCTCAAAGTGACAACCGAGCGACTTATCTCCAAAGAAAGTTATTTATAATACGATATAAAGAAAAATATGTTTTTTTGTTTGAAGGAGCATAAGAAACTGCAGTGCCTATGAGAGTCCTGTTTTTGATAAAGCTTTGCTATTATCATAATGATAAGTAATTTTATTATACGAGCGCCATTTTTTGAGTGATTGAACTTGTGAAGCCTTTTTTCCTTGAAAGTAAGAGTAAAAAGAAAGAGCCCTCATAGGCACTGGATCCTGATAGGCTCTTTCGTATGAAAAAACAATGAGCCGTATTGAATGAATACCCATATAGATTTTTTGGAGACGCGATAAGCTATTTTTCGACCTTAGTTTGGTTGGTATCTACCATATGCATCAGGATATGAGGCTGAAAATTTCAGCATAGACGTACTTTTACACCCCACAACATATCCTCAACGTTTCATGGCATCTCAATGTGCGTGAAATGAGACCGATTTTTGAGGGGGCCTTAATTTAAATTCACATGTCAAAGAATGTTATTTTCATCAATTTGTTTTATATTTCTAATGCACAAGATTATTGGAGTGAAAATCAATACCAACACAAATATTTTACGATTTTTCTACTGATTAGATTCGTAATTATGCAAATGAATTGATTTAATAATAATCCTACATAAGCACAGTTACA